ACTTCAACTCCCAGAATTCCCCAGCCAGCATGGGTATTTAAAAAAACAAAACAAAAACCCTCCCTTTCAGCCCCCAAGTTAGAAAGTGCGCTGGTAAAAATGAGAAGATAAATTATTCTATCATCTTTTTTTTTTTTTCATGCTAGGGTACAATTATTGTGTTTGCTTTACAAAATAGTGTTCCAGTTTAGAGTTTCCATATTCAGTTTTTCTTGTAGCTCAAAAAGGTCAAGTCCTAAAGCAATTAAAACTTTGCAACGCATAAAGAATGTATTTGTAGGCATCTTAAGGGATGGTCTTACATTTAATTAGTGTATTAGGATGCAAATGTTGAGCAGAAGCAAATGGTGAAATTGATCCGGGGTTTCCTTAGGTGGCCCTACTCATGGGGTAGGGGTCTCAATTTTACATGTCCTTATGAGGAGTTCTTCGTGTTCTCTGAGCTGGGTTGTTTGCTTGTAGATGTTTCATTACTGTTAGGGATATACACCCTAGCAGAATGTGCAACGGTAGTCAGTCAGGCAGGCAGATATGTGAGATAAACGTTGTTGTAGCTTACACTCAGTAAATCAGATACACAGTGCTAGTTAAATAGTTTTTATTCCAGTAAGAGTTATAGCATAGTCAAACAGTCCATATATCATACACTTAGTTCAGTCCGTCCGGGGATTATCCATTAGCAGTGTCGAAAAAGAGGTCAGTAAACTTACAAATAATCAGTCCAGTAATATATCTCTTTTTGCAGTAGAGATATGAAGAAAATCAAACCTCTTTTCTTCGTTCAGCAATAGCAGGGAAAACACGCAGTTATCACCATCAATCCATCGTTGTCAGCAATCCAGTAAAAGCCAGCAAACAGTGAGCTCTCTTGCTCCCTCTTATGGTGATTTTACAACCGCACCCAAAATACATGGTCTGCATTTAAAGTGATAAACACTATCATAGTCTATATATATTATTTTACCCAAACTAAGTTAGGTAACCATGTTATTCCTAACAATTACCCAACTAGGTAACAGCATCAATGCTAGTAAGTGTGCCGTTTATTCAATGGTGGATTTAAAAAAAATGTACTAACAGTTCTGTGGGTGTGGCTTGCTGGGCGTGGCTTGGTGGGCATGGCAGGGGAGGGATACTGCAAAATCCCCATTCCCTCCCCACCCCGCTAACCTGCTTTCCAGCTCCGTTCTCCTGTGCAGGGCAACCAAAGAAGACCCAGCCAATCAGCTGGGACTCAATGGGAGGCAGAGAAGAGATGGGGTTGACAGGGCCAGTCAGAGGTGGGATTTGCTGGTACTCTGAACTACTCAAAATTTCCACTACCGGTTCTCCAGAACTGGACAGAACCTGCTGAATACCACCTCTGGTTCTATGGCAGAATGAGCTACCTACCCATTTTTTACAATTGGTTCTGTGGGCGTGGCTTGGTGGGTGTGGCTTGGTGGGCGTGGCAGGGGAAGGATATACTGCAAAATCCCCATTCCCTCCCCACCCCACTAACCTGCTTTCCAGCTCCGTTCTCCTGTGTAGGGCAACCAAAGGAGACCCAGCCGATCAGCTGAGACTCGATGGGAGGCAGAGAAGAGATGGGGTTGGCGGGGCCAGTCAGAGGTGGGATTGGCCAGTTCTCCAAACGACTCAAAATTTCCACTACTGGTTCTCCAGAACTGGTCAGAACCTGCTGAATACCCACCTCTGCGTTTATTGGAGATTTGTATCTGACACTGGTAGGCACAGCTGAGATGCAGATAAGCAGGGATTAATCCCAGGCAAATATTAAGCAGAAAACAATACTCTAATCTAAGCAGAAAACAATACTCTAATCTACAAACTATCAAGGAAAAACACCACATTTCCATCAACACTGGTGGGGCAAGTTACTGCATAGGTAGTTCTCGACTTACAACTTGTGATGACCCGCGGCATGGCACAAAAATAATAAAGTCACAAAAGTAGATAAATTCCCTTTAATACCTCCAACTTGGCCCCCAATCTCCAGTTATCCTTGGCTGGAGATCAAACTCTCCCAAAAACAGTCTACAAAGGGAAGAAATGCAGTCCAAACCCAAAGTACAGATAAATTAGAAATAAAAAAACCCAACACGAACCACGCTGAAGTAATTAACACGACAGGCCAGGATAATAAATTGCAGACTTAGAACAGATAACGAAGCACACACAGTTGGGAGGACGCCAAAACCCAGATAAGGCTCGACAGTATAATGCACACTTGCTTCCAGAAAGGTGCTGTGTGCAAACATCCTTCTTATATCCTGTTCTCCCAGCTGCAACTAATGAAAGGGATCAGGGCCCTTTTCTCTCCCATAAGCCATGTTGCTCCCTTCCCTGTTCCTCCCTGCATGCCGTAGGATGAAGAGGGGGTGGGCCTGAGTCTTCCTCTGAATGCCCAGCTGGACTATGCCCTTCCCCCGTTTCTTCCACAGCCACCAGAGTCACACTCCCATTCCCTGTCAGCTGTTCCACTTCTCCCTCAGAATCAGACTCCAACAAGGGCATGACACACTAGTTCATTTAGTGACCATTCAAAGAAGGGACTTGTGGCCATTTTTCACAACTATGACCATTGTAGCATCCCTATGTTGATATGACCAGAAACTTGGCAATTGGCTTATATTTATGACAGTTTCAGTGTCTCTCGGGGTCACAGGATCCCTTTTTGCGACCTCCTTGCAAGCAAAGTCAATCGGTGAAGCCAGATTCACTTAACAACCATGTTACTCACTTAACAACTACAATGATTCACTGAACAACCGTGGCAAGAAAAGTCGTAAAATGGAGCAAAACTCACTTCTCGCTTAGCAACAGAAATGTTGGGCTCCATTGTGGTTGTAAGTTGAGGACTACCTGAATATAAACAGAGAGCAAACTACACACCCATGATGATGATGTTTCTTAGTCAGGTAATGAAACATCTGCAAGCCAATGACCCAGCTCAGAGAGCACCAGGGACCCCGCTATTCAACCTTAAGCTACAGATATTTTTTTAAGTGTGGTTAATCTGGATTTTTTTTAAAAAAAAAACAGATATCTCTAGGACGGCTTGGAATTCATGCTAGCAAATCCTCTGTGACATATCTGATCCAGTATGTGTTGAAGGAATGCTGTAGCATATGGTGCCTTTAAATGCCAAGGGTTTTCATTTGTAGGAGGAATGTAACACATGCCTTGAATCCTTCCACGAAATGCACCGTTCAGGTGCCAAATAAAAGGAAGAGGCAACCATCACCAAAGCAATTAGTTGTCAGATGGAACAATTAAGGATTTATTTCAACTCGGGAACCCGCAAATGAGAAAGTCAATAATGGCTGTGTGTCTCTTCTTGATGCTCTTATAAAAAGGAAGCAATTACCTTGGATATTACCTAAGCTTTACCAATTACCTGATTTGACACTTGTGGCCAGGAGGGCGAGAGTTATTGCTTTTTCACTGTTTTTATAAGAGCAAATTCCGATTTCCCACTGTCTTCCCCATTGACGTGCTTATGAGAAGCTGGCAGAGTGTTGGAAATCACAGTAACATGACTGTGGCATATACTGCAGAAGTGCCGCAAAGGTCGTGTCCGACCCATCACAACCCCATGGACAACGTTCCTCCAGGCCTTCCTGTTCCCTACCATCCCCCAGAGTCCGTTTAATAATAGAAGTAATGGAAGGGATGAAATAATAGAAGGGATGAAATCATAGAAGGGATGAACTGTAGGACAATGGTTTGCTTGTATGGTTGTATGAATATACAATTTTTTTTTACTCTAGTTTTTGATTCCTTGCTTTTCAAAAGGAAATTCAACTTGGGTATTACCTAAGCTTACCAATTACCTGATTTAATACTCATTGCCAGGACGGCAAGGGTTATTACTTTTTTCATTGTTTTTATGCAGGGGAGCAAATTCCGATTTCCCACTGTCTTCCCCATTGACCTGCTTATGAGAAGAGTGTTGGAAATTACAGTCACATGACTGTGGCATATACCGCAGAAGGGCTGCAGTAGTGGGTCTCCGGTGGCCATAGCTTCATCTTACAACTAGTCAAAAGATGCTTGAAATTTTGACTTCTGGGGAATATGGCTAACTGAACACAAGAGATCCTCGAAGGATTTCTCCCATCAGTTTCTGTGACCCACCCGGTTAGGGTGTGTCGAAGAAGATCCCTGAAATTTCAATCCTAAGGGAATAATGGATCCTGGATTTTGGATTTTGGACATGTTCTTGTATTTTGGTTCCATAATTGTTCTCCTATGATGCACCATTTCACCCAGTTTAAGGTTACAAACGGATAGGAGAGTTTTAGTAGCATATAATGTTCAATTGGCTAGTTTCTGTAGCCAGTTTTGTTAATCGGTTTAATAAAATTTGCAAGAGCCTAGCCTTGTAGACTGGGGCTTGCTACCGAGTTTTTCAAAATATTATCAGTAGATTCTCTTTGGGTGCTCCAACCCGTCTCTATTCAGCTTACAGGACTGCAGTGGGGAAAAGTATGAGAAAATATTTTATATTGCAATTTCTGCTTCTAATAAGACAATTAAAATAAAAAAGATGAGCCAATTTGTTACGTGATCTAAGAATTTGTTCCTGTCTGTTGAATTGAGCTCTAGTTTGATTCATCTCATGAACCTCAAGTTGGAGAAGGGTCAACTTTTAGCCGAAAGCTTCACGGTTGATTCTTGGTCTGACAGCATTATAATAAACTCAATTATTTACAGCCAGTTGAGCTACATTAGAAAGCTACAACCTCCATGACATTTCTAAAACCATGGTTTATTCATTTGTACTTTATTCTTTCATTCTTTTTTCATGTCTTTAAACTTTTTAAAGGGAAATTATTTTGTTATCGTTCTAAGGAGCATCTGAGCTAGCAAAGCATGTTGTGTATGTTTTAATGAAGGATTTTTAAACCATATAACTAAAAAAACCAAACAAACACAAAATATTCATTCCTTTTTTCCCCCCATGTGGTCTATCTGTCTGTCTTTCTCTCATATAGACACATCCACAATAAATCTGGCCATAATGCTATGGACAGTTGGTATGACAATCCTGTGTCAGGTTATTCACCCAATAACAGAATCATGACCAAAGAACGCAGGAAAAGTTTCCAGACTGGTAAGTATTCTGGGTTGACCAGATTTGGCTAGGTTAGTGGTCAAAGAAAGCTTTGATCAAAGGGAATTTGTCAGGGGTGGGGTGAAAATACAGTACCGGTTCTGTGGGCGTGGCTAGGTGGGAGTATCTAGGTGGGTGTGGCCATGTGACTGGGTAGGTGTGGCTTTTTTGCAGCAAACCCCCCCCTCCCATGCAGGGGCTGCCACAGGGAGGAAGGGGTCAAGCTATTTTCTAAAGCGCCTGTAGGCCAGACAAGGAATAATGGATGGAAACTGAACAAGGAGAGATTCAACCTGGAAATAAGGAGAAACTTTCTGACCGTGAGAACAATCAACCCATGGAACAGAAGTTGCCCTCGGAAGTTGTGGGATCGCCATCACTTGAGACTTTCAAGAAGAGATTGGATTGCCATTTATCAGAAAAGGTGTAGGGTCTCCCGCTTGGTCAGGGGGTTGGACTAGATGACCTACAAGGTCCCTTCCAACTCTGATTATCTGTTATCTGTTATCTGCAGCAGGGGTCCCCAACCACCAGGCCGCGGACCGGTCCCGGTCCGTGG